AAAAAAAAAAAAAGCAAAACAAAACAGGAGGGAGAAAGGGGTTCCCCGAAGGATGTCAGAGCTGGTAAATTATGAAAACAAGTTCATACCTGGGAAACATCTGCTGTTTTATAAAAGGTTTTTTTATCAAGACTTTTCAGGCTTCCGATAACACAGGGCAAATCAACTAGCTTAGCAGATAGTGAGACATCTTCCACCTGAACAACTGCACGACGCTCGGCAGCTGAAGAGAATAAAGAAGATTGAAGTTGACATCTTTTCAATGAACTCTTAAGCCTCCGAAGATTTGAATAATGAAGACTTATGTGGGACAGACTAGTCTTTCAGTGAAACCTCCTATTTCTCATAATGCTAGAGTTGTGTGCAGAATTAGTAACTTCCCAGAGAAAAGAGAGTATGGAACTCTTTCCTTCCCATTTCGTATCATTTATTCAAAGTATCTGTTTCTGTTAATGAGTGTGAACTAAGTACAAGTGAAACAGTAAATATTTCATTCCCATCCTGAAAAGCAAATTCCATCCATTTAAGCCTGTTGTTTTTAGAAGCATTCAATCCTATAGTTGTATGTGGGTGTTTTCAAAAGGCTGGGTGAGAGAAGGGTTGACCCTGGAATGGTACTAATTAGTTTCATGTTAAAAATCAATAGTTAGTGCTACAAAGATAAAATTCTATACAACAGCCATATACCGAACTCTGAATCCTGCTCAGATGTCTCAAACATGAATGTCTTTTGACACAAGAGGACTTAGCTGTAATCTACATTAAGTGAAGAAAGAAAGATGCAGAACCATGTTTGACATGATCTTTTTTTGTGTGTGAATTAACTTTAAAAATACAGCATATAGAGAAATTTTTTAAATTCTAGTATTATGCATAACAATTTTGTAAGGAAACACAAGAAGAAATGGTTAATATTAGTGATGTTTGCCATTGAGTTTGGAGCACTGTAAGGAGAATTTCACTTCTCTTTTTTTTTTTTGCAGTTTTTGACTGGGGCTGGGTTTGAACCCACCACCTTCAGCATATGGGGCCAGCGCCTTACTCCTTTGAGCCACAGGCGCTGCCCTGGAGAATTTCACTTCTCTTTTTGAACTTTTATGTTTTATTTGAATTTTCTCATCATAAACTTTTATTATTATTTTTTTTGAGATAGAGTCTTACTTTGTCACCCTAGGTAGAGTGCAGTGGATTATAGCTCACAGTAATCTCCAACTCTTGGGCTCAGTGATTCTCTTGCCTCAGTCTCCTGAGTAGCTGGGGCTACAGGCACCTGCCACAACACCTGGCTATTTTTAGAGACAGGGTCTTGCTCTTGCTTAGGCTGGGCTTGAACATGTGAGCTCACGCAATCCACCAGCCTCAGCCTCCCAGAGTGCTAGGATTATAGGCATGAGCCACCACACCTGGTCCATCTTTTTTCTTTTTATATCAATAGGGTCAACTCAGTGGTGGGATTGTAGGCCACTTTTGTTTT